ATCAAAATCTAGGAAGATGTATTAGGTCAGGTGCCATCAGCTTTAACTACTCACATATGTGATATACAAAATCACTGACAATATACAATCATAACAGACAACAGGCAAATCAGTTACAACATTTTTTGGCTCCTTTTGGACCAAAGTTTGCGTGAGATCATCCCACAACTTCCAATGCCCTTGTGTCATTTCTTTCACAAGCACAGTTCACAAACTGTGCTGTGAAAGCCTGGAACCAGGAGATGTGCTCTATCTCTTATTGCTGGACACTGTAGCTCTGGTTACTGTCAATTTTCCCACAACTGGAGAATGCAAAAACAAAGACATAAAAGGTATCATAACTGTTATACATTAAATTTTACATTACAAACCTATCTTTATACAAAGGCAAATCACTCTATCATTGTTAAAAGGAGTATAAACGTTCAGATAAAAAGTAAAACTTGTCCTGATTTCCTGCAAAAGTCAGTACAAAATGGTCTAAAAAGTCAACAAACCATTTTGTTTGTGTAAAATATGATGTGATATGTATGAAATCTATATTGGATAATGGATCATTAGAAAACAGGGACCTCACCTTAAATCATCTTGTGTAGTTTAGCATGGTTTCAGAATTGCTTTTGTCCAATGAGGCACTTGGAACAACTGCTCTTCAAGTATCATAGGAATAGAGTTTAAGGAGTCCCTGGGCAGCTGTTGCATCTTTAGCGGGTACAGTTGTTTGGGTGACTCACGGAAATCATGTCCATGTATGTCACAGCTCTTGGTAGGTCAGTACCAGTCTGGCACATTTGCTCAGTCAGGCTGAGCTCAATGCTTGTTGCAGTAGATATTAATGCTTTGAAGCTCAGGGTTCCATGAGAAAAGCTTAACAATGGAAACCTAACACAGACAACCTACAATTCAGCACACTTGCATTATTATATATGTTAATAAAAGCAAATTCTTACGTGAGCATGTTCTCTGGTCTTCATTCAACACATATCCCATATGACACTTGCAGTTGTAGGAATCCCCATTGTTGATACAAATGTGTTGGCAGTTATGTCCTTGTGCACATGCATCCGAGCCTGAAAAGAGACACTGCCACATCTAAAAGACCTTGTAACTCATTCAACAAACTAACCATACATGTGTATAATACACGTGCCTCTGTAGTTCTTGGAAATGTGATAGAATAACACAAAAATATCTTGAGTTATTATTTAAAAAATGTTGAAAGAAAGAATTTTCTT